TCCTGCTGTTTTTGGATGGATTCACTGAAAGGCCAACCTTTGCCAATTTTTTAATTAGCTTCTTGTTCTTGTTGAGCTTCTTTAGATCATCGGCATTCAGGCATGGGATGCCATTTGCGTTCGCCTCATCGCAGTGCTGCTGATCGCCCAGCACACACACCTTCATGCTTGGTCTCGGGATATTCTTGAGCCTAAATTCAACTGCATGCATTACACGAATTACGCACATAATCTGTCCAGCCCTTGCACCCAGCTCAACCACAGCAGCAGTATGAATTTCGATCTCTAGACCTACGCGATATAAGAAGTATGTGGACCGGAAACTTAGCCTGTCATGAACGTTAGCCATACACGGATCCAGGAAGAGAAAGGGAGGGCGGGGGGGAAGGGGAGAGGCGAAGGACCTGCTAAAGCTAAAACTAAAGTAAACAACTCTAAATAGCAGTGTTACAACTCTACTCCGAGCTTATGCATAGTTCCAGGACAGGAAATTTTGCATTGCAAAACCCTAACTCACCTCTTTGCCCTGCCCCAGAACGGATGTTACACCGATGAACGAGTGAAGGGAAAAAATCAGCTAAAAGAACAAAAAACCGACGAGGGGGTGCACTCCTCGGAGGAAGCGTAGGGGAACGAAAGTCAGAACCACAAGGACGCCAACCACCGGGAGTGCTGCAGGACTACGGTGACAAGGCCGGTACGTTCACGACACGTTTAGAGTGTCAGAGCTGCCACTGAGACTAACCAGTGATTGCTGAGCAAGGCGGCAAAATGATGTTCATCGGTTCCACACACAGACAACCCCGCCCCCTCCCCCCTTTTTTTCCCCCTGAGGTTTGACGACCCTAGGGGCCGCCCCTGCACGGTAAATTCGTCTGCTCATTCTCAGGAAAAGTAGGAATTTTGATTTACCGTACAGATCCGCTGAAACGCTTATCTTTCTGCGGGTCGTAGTTCTTGAGCGCCACTTGCAGCTCCACTGTCTCCCGGAACTTTCGCTTCTTCTCCCTGGACGCTTTCAACACTTCGTTTACGCACTCGAATAACGTGTCACGCGGTATCTTACTCATTTCTGCTGCGCCTCTCCGTGCCCTGCAACTTGCTGCATTACGAAGCAGGAAAATCGAGGAATCACAGAACTCGGTGAAAGCGCGGACGCAACACCGCGACTCCCACGCCACGGCCACTGCGCAATCCCTCGCCACGTACCACAAGCCCGCTGAGCGTCAACGAGCAAACAACCCACCTCTTCCTTCCCCCCTCCCCTCGCTTCCGACTGTTGCACCCGTCCCGCAACCAGCCTACCCAGCTCTAACATATTGAAGAGCAGGGCCCTCTGAGCACCAAGGCCGCACGCGTCTCAGGACACAAGCAATAGATCGCAGCCCAATTTCAGTGTGTGTGTGTGCGAGCCAGACTGGGATAAAAGCGAAGCCAGCCGATCTCAAGAAGCGCTATTCTGCATACGCATACCAGGCCGAACTTCAGTGGAGACCCGCAACAGCAGTTTATGCCCGGGGAAGGAGGTGCAAGTCAGGATAGCGCAGATTTCAAATATGTGACGTGGCCAGACGACAGTCAGGCTATTAGAAGATCGCTGCTGCCAATAATTTGTGCGGTAATTATCATCATGCTTTTGGCTGCCCGCAACAAGCAGAAAAGAAAACACGAAGACGCACACCAGGATCAGTGGCGACAATATGCTGAGCAGTAGTTAAAGCAACACGCAAAACTGCATCACAGGAAGTTCACCGTTTGACGTAAAGGCACGCTATCACGAAACAGCACTTATCATAACGCCCTACTGAGCAGAATTATTGCGAAATAATAGAGTAGAAGAATGACCGCTTAGACGAGAATCTTCCTCCTTCTGCCTCAGCACGGTAGACGGTATGCTGCATCTAGACATAAAGCACATGCTGGCAACCGGCCGCTTTTAATCCGACCCGCGAAGGGAGTGGGAATGTGGTGCTTGACTAGACGAACGCTTATGCACTCTCATGAAAATAAATAAAACTAAAATACGCACGGGGATAATAGATGACAATCTGAAAAAATACCTTGAGACTATGTGCCAGTGATATAAACCAAGATTTCGACAAGAGAATGTCTGTGTGTATTTTGTCACCCACTTTCAACTCAGCAGCTAGGCGAGCCATGATGCAACACTACCGATCCAGCCTACGTTCTTTTCCTCTGCATGCGAGAAAACACCAAAACACAGGCACGTGAGCTGCACGTATTGAACTGTAAAACAGCAACCATTCATAATGTAAATGACCTGACTACGTCAAATTTGGCACAAAAAAAGCGTGATTGCACAGGCAAACCTGGTGCGATGCTACTTGGGTTCTATTAAAAGGTGGCCCATGAGCTTAAGGTAGTACGTAAATGAGGCCCGCGTTTCGCCAAAGGTTGCCCATACCTGCTCTAAAGCTTTGATTCGGTAAAAAATAAATAGCGACGCGCACCAGAGAAGCCCGTGCAGTCATGCGTTTTGTGCAGTTCCGTTCACCGAACGTTTGCCTGCTAAGGACTTTCACTGCCTTGCACTTTGGTCGATGCAGAAATAGTTGAAATGTTGCCTGGTTCCTATGTTGTGGAATTTTCCATAAAAAATTTCGCGCACCGGTATGTGAAAGCTGAATTTGAAGTCTCGGAGGGTGAACATTCTTCCAAAATTTCAACTTCCTAATTTTCTGGCTTTCGAGTGATTTTTGCGACAAAAACGTCACGAGAGACCCCGTATGTGAGACTGGACATACTCTGGAATTGACTTCGGATTTGTGAAGCCCCTGGTCAGGCAGGAAACATCCTCCTGAAATTTTCGGCCACCTAGCTCTTCAAATAATGGTTTTCCACGCCAAAACTTTCACAGGGACGTTGAGAATTTGCGAAGAAGTACGAGGGCAAAGGACGCTGCGCTAAATTTTCACCTTCCTAGATTCCGTGGTCTTGGAGGTAATAATTTTTCCAGCTAAAACTTTTACGGAGTTGTACGTGATAGCCAGACGTAGGGAAAGGATGAATTAAAAGCTGCGAGACTGTACTTGGGCAGGAGGCATTACTATAAAATTTGAGCTTCCCAACTTTCGTGGTCCCGAGATAATAATTTTTCCCGCCGAAACTTTCACGGGGTTGTAAGTGGTACCCGGGCGCATCTGAAAGCCGAATTTAAATTTTCAGGATTGTATGTGGGTTTAGAACACTACAGCATCAGAAACATACACACACAATTCCGTGATAATGCGCGTTTTGTACAGCTGTCGCACAGACAAAACGCATAAAAACTAAGGCAAAAAAAAAAAAATACGGGCTAAGGCAACAGCGTAGTAAATTGGTTTTCCACGCATTTGGAAGCCTTTCCACAATTACCGCCAGAAGCTGAGAGTGTAATCTCCCTTCCCGGTCTCTTTTCCTTTTTATGCGTTTTTGCTGTGCAGCGCTATAGCAGCGCTATAGCGCTGCTACAGCCAGCA